TGGGATATTTTGAAAACTGCAGGAGGGTTTGGGCAAAATGTGACCCACCGCCGCTTTCAGTAATTGGCATATTTTTGGTATAAAAAGTCGGAATTTCAAACTGCTAATAGGTGCAGAAAGCCAGAATTTTGATCCAAAATATAGCTCAGGTATCAAATTTGGGATGTTTGGGATATTTTGAAAACTGCTGGGGTGTTTGGGCAAAATGTTACCCACCGCCGCTATCAGTAATTGGCATATTTTTGGAATAAAAATTCGTAATTTCAAACTGGGAATACGTGCAAAGAGCCAGAATTTGGGTACAAAATATGGCTCAGGTATCGAATATGGGATGTTTGGGATATTTTGCAAACTGCAGGGGGGGTTTGGGCAAAATGTGACCCACAGTTGCTTTCAGTAATTGGCATATTTTTGGTATAAATAGTCAGAATTTCAAACTGCGAATAGGTGCAGAGAGCCAGAATTTGGGTCCAAAATATGGCTCAGGTATCGAATTTGGGATGTTTTGGATGTTTTTAAAACTGCAGGGGGGTTTGGGCAAAATGTGACCCACAGCCACTTTCAGTAATTGGCATATTTTTGGTATAAAAATTCGGAATTTATAACTGCGAATAGGTGCAGAGAGCCCGAATTTGGGTCCAAAATATGGCTCCGGTATCGAATTATGGATGTTTTGGATATTTTGAAAACTGCAGGGGGGTTTGGGCAAAATGTGACCCACTGCCGCTTTCAGTAATTGGCATATTTTTGGTATAAATAGTCGGAATTTCAAACTGCGAATAGGTGCAGATAGCCAGAATTTGGGTCCAAAATATGGCTCAGCTATCGAATTTAGGATGTTTGGGATATTTTGAAAACTGCAGGGGGGGTTTGGGAAAAATGTGATCAACCGCCGCTTTCAGTAACTGGATAATTTTTGGTATAAAAAGTTGGATTTTCAAACTGCGAATAAGTGCAGAGAGGCAGAATTTAGGTCCAAAATATGGCTCAGGTATCCAATTTGGGATGTTTGGGATATTTTTAAAACTGCAGGGGGGTTTGGGCAAAATGTGACCCACAGCCGCTTTCAGTAATTGGCTTATTTTTAGTATAAAAAGTCGGAACTTCAAAATGCGAATAGGTGCAGAGAACCAGAATTTTGATCCAAAATATGGCTCAGGTATCGAATTTGGGATGTTTTGGATATTTTGAAAACTGCAGGGAGGTTTGGGCAAAATGTGACCCAACGCTGCTTTCAGTAATTGGCAGATTTTTGGTATAAAAAGTCGGAATTTAAAACTGTGAATAGGTGCAGAGAGCCAGAATTTGGGTCCAAAATATGGCTCAGGATTCGAATATGGGATGTTTGGGATATTTTGAAAACTGCAGGGGGGTTTTGGCAAAATGTGACCCACCGTTGCTTTCAATAATTGGCATATTTTTGGTATAAAAATTCGGAATTTCAAACTGCGAATAAGTGCAGAGAGCCAGAATTTGTGTCCAAAATATGGCTAAGGTATCGAATTTGGGATGTTTGTGATATTTTGTAAACTGCAGGGGGGGTTGGGCAAAATGTGACCCACCGCCGCTTTCAGTAATTGGCATATTTTTGGTATAAAAATTCGGAATTTATAACTGCGAATAGGTGCAGAGAGCCCGAATTTGGGTCCAAAATATGGCTCCGGTATCGAATTTGGGATGTTTTGGATATTTTGAAAACTGCAGGGGGGGTTTTGGCAAAATGTGACCCACTGCCGCTTTCAGTAATTGGCATATTTTTGGTATAAAAATTCGGAACATCAAACTGCAAATAGGTGCAGAGAGCCAGAATTTGGGTCCAAAATATGGCTCAGGTATCGAATTTATGGATGTTTGGGATATTTTAAAAACTGCAGGGGGGTTTGGTGCAAAATGTAACACACCGCTGGTTTCAGTAAATTGGCATATTTTTGGTATAAAAAGAAGGAATTTCAAACTTACACTACTGTAATAACATTCAATATACTTCTCTGCTTGCTGGGTGCCTGTCTGACAATGTGCCATACTGGATAACTCTTCCTTGTCGAGTTTAGGCACGATATTTTATATCACAGCTTTGCTGTAGATTGTTCTTGTAGCGTTGCTATGTGATTTTTCTATAACTGCGTTGCAGAAGGATGATAGTTGATGGTGGAGGCAAGAGTCACTGTGTGCTCCACTCTACACTTATATAGATATAAATGTTCTAGGAATTTTCCTTGTAGATATATTGTCCAGGTACTTCCCCAGTTCTAGTGTGTGTTCACTGGTGATAAAGATAATTCGATAAGGTGTCCTGAGCTAAGTAATGTTCGCTAAGGTACCCTCACACTTGTTCACTGTGTTGTCAACAAACGCGTAGTGCCGCAGGGTGTCGTGGGCGCTTCTTGTTTCCGAGATGCCCCTCCCTCTCCCTTGAGAGGGGTAACTTTCAATGAATATTGATTGATTACTTTTACTGTCTAGACATATGATTGAGATAGTGATTATTATATAATTAGATATAGGATTTAAAGATTATAAGTAGTACTTGATAGTACCACTGATTCTTATTAAGGATTCAATTTATAATCCCTACCGGAAATCAAATCATGTTCCAAAAGTTTTTAATTAAGAAATCCTTCTAGAAGCTTCTGGATCCTTGAGAGATCATGCACAAGGTCACATAGGCACTTATTGGGCCCTATGGTGTACGTGATCATAGTGACATTGTCATCTAGGATCAAGATGTATTTTTTTTTTTTTTTTATATACAAGAAGGTACATTGGGTTTGTGAGAATACATTGGGTAGTACAGTATTTACATTCTTGTAAAGCCACTAGTACGCGCAGCGTTTCGGGCAGGTCCTTAATCTAGCAGATAATTTTAAGTAGGTAATTTCAATCAGAATTGATAAATGAAAGATACATGTGAAAGATACATGTATAATGAATCTATAGTGATTCTATAATGATTCTGATATGATTTGATATAATATAGATATGATATAGAAATTATACATTTCTTAGATATTATAGATATAGTGGGTAAAAATTTCTCACAGTATGTTTCAAAATATTTAGCTTTGTAGCCAGTGGGCAGACACAAATTGTTGCGCAGGTCTGAATGTTCTGTCCTGCCATGCTGTTCCTTTTTGGATTCTGACGACCCCAACCATCGTATGTTCATCCTGTACCCCAAACCATTCGCTCTGCCAGTTTGAGTGAGGCTAGCCACAAGCATCTGGCCTCCAACTTTAGACACACACATTCTCTTCTATTGTATAAGGTTAATGATTTTAGATGAATAAAAGATTAATTTTTGTAATATCTAGGCAGGCCGTGAAGGCCTTGGAAAATTAACATAAAAATACTTTTTTAGTCCTTATAGTAGGCATACTTGTGTAGATGATTTAATTTGCATAGAAGCTACATTTTCATTGAAACAAATGCCATCTATGCATTAAAACCCTTGTGTACCGTAGGTCATGACAACGTGAAGGTGTTCATCACGCATGCAGGTCTCCTCAGTCTGCAGGAGGCCATCTACCACGCCACGCCCCTCCTCGCAATTCCCATTTTCGGTGACCAGCTCAAGAACGCCATGTTCGTGAAGGGGACTGGACTGGGAGACAGTCTGGTGTGGGAGGAACTGACTGAGGACATGATCGTTCACGCGATTAACAATATCACCACTGACCCTAAGTAAGTGTTGAACCGTAAGTTTAATTGTTGCAATAATCAGTTGAGGTTCAAGGACAATTAATTTTCCTGTGGGAAAATTTTTAATTTTTACTTTTAAAAATTAAAATTTTTACTCTAAATTTTTATTTAGAGTAAAAATTAACATTCACTTTTAACAAACGATGGAGCTCATTCAAGCACAATTTTCTATTGGTGAATTTAAATTTTACTTTAATACATCGCCAATCCTCATTAAGAGAATATGAATGATGCTATTTTAAGGTTAAAAAATTTAACTACAGGAAGTTGTAACATTTATGATTCAACATTTTGTAGGTAATTTGTCATTTACAGCACAATTTAATGTGTTCGCTATCTCAAGTAACAAGTTGTTAATGAGCAAAATACCTTCGATGACCCTGAGCTTATTTAATATTGTGTTTTTCTTTACATTTGTTTCTTCGTTGTTTTCTGTTGTTGTCCATACTCTTCTTGGTAATGTCTGTTCTTCAATGGAATATTCGTGGATTTTATGCCAACTCCCATGAACTCCAACTTCTGATTACACAGTTTTCACCACTTTGTGATTGTCTCCAGGAACTGATGCTTGGTGCTCGTCCTGGTCACTTTCGTGGTTATTCCTTTCTCCCCCTCCCCCACCCTCTTGCTGGGGCCCGTAACTCTACTGCTCTTTTGATTCGTACTGATATTCCCTTCGTCTCACTACTTTTTCCATCGCCTATCCAATATTCTTATGCCCATGTCTTTGTGAGTAAATGGAATACGGTTTGTTCCATTTATCCCCCCCCCCCCAAATGCCCCACTTTCTCTTCCTGATCTTGAGCACCTCCTGGACTCCTTGCCGAAGCCTGTGCTCCTGTTGGGTGATTTCAACTGTCAACATACCCTCTGGGGTGATGTTCTGACAAACACCCGAGGCCGCCTTCTCGAACAGTTTGTCCTCTCTTCTTCCCTCTCTCTCCTGAATTCTGGTGAACCACTTATGTGGAATCTCGCACTCCACATGAGTGAGAGAATGAGATTATTTGCTCATTCATTTAGAGAATGAGCCAGTAACAATAAGAATCGGCAATTACCATATAACAGGCAACCAAAGATATGTGACTCATAATTGACACAGAGGAATATTAATTAATTTCCTTCTGATTTCCTTGGTGGTCAGGTATAAGAAAAACATGATGAGGATGTCAGCGGGGATGAGGGACCAGCCGACGTCGCCCAGGGACCGAGCGGTGTTCTGGACGGAGTACGTCATCCGCCACCGCGGGGAGCCCCAGCTGAGGTCCCCGGCGGCACAGCTCTCCTGGGTGGAGTTCCTCATGCTCGACGTCCTGCTGCTCCTCCTCCTGGCTCTCTACCTTCTCTTCTTCATCCTTCGTCGTATCTTCAGGTTCATGTCTACTAAAATCTTTGACGGCGACAGTAGAAAAAGTAAGAACAAGAGGGAGTAGGAACGCCGTCTTTACCGTTACCTCGAAAAACCTTTGGAAAACGATTCAAATAGAGAAGTTTGTCATATTCCAACTGCTTATCGTATTGATTTCCTTATATCTCCGTAGCAGTTGTACTGGGAATCTCAGCAGAGAAGCCAGGAATGCAAACCTCTGCAATAACCTCCAAAGAAGTAAACTTGAACTATATTGCAAATTGATTTGCTAACTCTTGTGATGTGATAACGGTGGCTATACCGGGAAGATGGTATACGGCACACACTTCCCATTAAAAAAACTCATTGGTCTTTGCAGTGTGAAAATTGCACTAGAGTAAAGATACTCAGACAAAATAGATAATTTACTCTTTCAAAATGAACAAATAACATGAAAAATACCCAAAACCCCTAGTTAGACACACTTGGCTGTCACTCAAGTGATAACAACACATATATTAACTCAGTGACACAAAATATTCACACAAAAACTAAAACCTGCACACGAACAAGCGTCATGCAGAGGCAGTCATGTTGATTCCCTGAGCACCTGATTAGAGACTGAGGAAATGACCGAGGTCATGGGGTATTTATACCCCTGAGGTCACCTGTCCCTCAATAGAATTCTTGGTGACTCGGATACTTTTGATATCGTTCGCCTTATGCGTTTTTGTTCTCGTATAGGCATCGTTGGTAATATTTAGCGCCCTCTGATTATTCTGCGCATTTGATGGTGCTACATAGCCTTCCCGGTTTGGTGCCTTCTTTTGATAATTAATTACTTACTTTAGGGTCCTTTAATCCAGTCCACCCTGTGGTCATCGAGATTCAACATTGGCTGTTTCTTATCTCCAGTAAATTTAAGTCAGTTGCGTTTTGCTGGGTTCCCAGCCATGTTGGTGTGTCTTTAAATGAGCATGCGGATGCTGCCGCTAAGGACGCTATCCGCACTTGTCCCATCTCCCATAAAGGTGTTCCTTATTCTGACTTTTACCCAGTTATTCATGCCTCCATCCTTGCCCGATGGCAGAGTTATTGGTCTTCTGTTCTTGGTAACAAACTGCGTACTCTTAAGAGTTGTGTGTCCCAGTGGCCTTCCTCCTGCTACCGTAACCGGCGGTGGGAAATGGCTCTGGCTAGGTTACGTATTGGCCATACCCGTTTAACTCACGGTCACTTGATGGAGCGCCGCCCTGCTCCTTATTGTCCGAATTGCATTGTCCCTCTTACGGTCGTACATATCCTTCTTGAATGTCCTGACTTCCAGGACGAGCGTGTCTTGTTTTCCGACTGTCCCCCGCGGTCGCTTGTCCCTTGATAGAATTCTTGGCGACTCTGATACTTTTGATATCGTTCGCCTTATGCGTTTTTGTTCTCGTATTGGCATCCTTGGTGATATTTAGCGCCCTCTGATTATCCCGCACTTTGATGGTGCTACATAGCCTTCCCGGTTTGGTGCCTTCTATTGATAATTACTTACTTACTTTATACCCCTGATTGTGACGTCCCATCTTTTGTCACCGAGACTTGGAACGAAGAGCTGTCGGCGTTACTGGTGGTTAATGGACGTAACGAGGAACCTGAGAGTCAAGACGTCTAACACCTTCCTGGGGCTCTTGGGTTACGTGGAGGATGTACTGGTGGTGATGTCCAGACATTCATCTGGGTTGAACTTCATACTGGTCGTAATACGAGACATGTAGTGATAAATAACGAAGGTAAGATGGAAGAGGCAATTTTCTCTGCTATGGAATTACAACTCTCCCCAATAGTGCATGTCATCTCATAAGGCATCTCACCAGCATGACTTACAGCATCTACAATAGACTCTGGGTTTGGGCAAAATGTGACCCACTGCCGCTTTCAGTAATTGGCATATTTTTGGTATAAATAGTCGGAATTTCAAACTGCGAATAGGTGCAGATAGCCAGAATTTGGGTCCAAAATATGGCTCAGCTATCGAATTTGGGATGTTTGGGATATTTTGAAAACTGCAGGGGGGGTTTGGGAAAAATGTGACCCACCGCCGCTTTCAGTAATTGGCATATTTTTGGTACAAATAGTCGGAACTTCAAACTGCGAATAGGTGCAGAGAGCCAGAATTTTGATCCAAAATATGGTTCAGGTATCGAATTTGGGATGTTTGGGATATTTTGAAAACTGCAGGGAGGTTTGGGCAAAATGTGACCCACCCCCGCTTTCAGTTATTGGCAGATTTTTGTTATAAAAAGTCGAAATTTCAGACTATGAATAGGTGCAGAGAGCCCGAATTTGGGTCCAAAATATGGCTCAGGTATCCAATTTGGGATGTTTTTAAAACTGCAGGGGGGTTTGGAAAAAATGTGACCCACAGCCACTTTCAGTAATTGGCATATTTTTGGTATAAAAATTCGGAATTTATAACTTCGAATAGGTGCAGAGAGCCCGAAATTGGGTCCAAAATATGGCTCCAGTATCGAATTTGGGATGTTTTGGATATTTTGAAAACTGCAGGGGGGTTTGGGCAAAATGTGACCCCCTGCCGCTTTCAGTAATTGGCATATTTTTGGTATAAAAAGTCGTAACATCAAACTGCGAATAGGTGCAGAGAGCCAGAATTTGGGTCCAAAATATGGCTCACGTATCGAATTTAAGATGTTTGGGATATTTTAAAAACTGCAGGGGGGTTTGCGCAAAATGTAACACACTGCTGGTATCATAATTTGGCATATTTTTGGTATAAAAAAAAGGAATTTCAAACTGCGAATAGGTGCAGAGAGACAGAATTTAGATCCAAAATATGACTCAGGTATCGAACTTGGGATGTTTGGGATATTTCGAAAACAGCAGAGGGTTTTGGTCAAAATGTGACCCACCGCCGCTTTCAGTAATTGGCATATTTTTGGTATAAAAAGTCGGAATTTCAAACTTCGAATAGGTGCAGAGAGCCCGAATTTGGATCCAAAATATAGCTCAGGTATCGAATTTGTGATGTTTGGGATATTTTGAAATCTGCAGGGGGGGTTTGGCCAAAACGTGTCCCACCGCCGCTTTCAGAAATTGGCATATTTTTGGTATAAAAATTCAGAATTTCAAACTGCGAATAGGTGCAAAGAGCCAGAATTTGGGTCCAAAATATGGCTAAGGTATCGAATTTGGGATGTTTGGGATATTTTGAAAACTGCAGGAGGGTTTGGGCAAAATGTGACCCACCGCCGCTTTCAGTAATTGGCATATTTTTGGTATAAAAAGTCGGAATTTCAAACTGCTAATAGGTGCAGAAAGCCAGAATTTTGATCCAAAATATAGCTCAGGTATCAAATTTGGGATGTTGGGATATTTTGAAAACTGCAGGGGGGTTTGGGCAAAATGTGACTCACCGCCGCTTTCAGTAATTGCCTTATTTTTGGTATAAAAAGTCGTAATTTCAAACTGGGAATAAGTGCAGAGAGCCAGAATTTGGGTACAAAATATGGCTCAGGTATCGAATATGGGATGTTTGGGATATTTTGCCAACTGCAGGGGGGGTTTGGGCAAAATGTGACCCACAGTTGCTTTCAGTAATTGGCATATTGTTGGTATAAATAGTCGGAATTTCAAACTGCGAATAGGTGCAGAGAGCCAGAATTTGGGTCCAAAATATGGCTCAGGTATCGAATTAGGGATGTTTGGGATATTTTGAAAACTGCAGGAGGGGTTTGAAAAAAATGTGATCAACCGCCGCTTTCAGTAACTGGATAATTTTTGGTATAAAAAGTTGGATTTTCAAACTGCGAATAAGTGCAGAGACGCAGAATTTAGGTCCAAAATATGGCTCAGGTATCCAATTTGGGATGTTTGGGATATTTTTAAAACTGCAGGGGGGTTTGGGCAAAATGTGACCCACCGCCGCTTTCAGTAATTAGCATATTTTTGGTATAAAAAGTCGGAACTTCAAACTGCGAATAGGTGCAGAGAGCCAGAATTTTGATCCAAAATATGGCTCAGGTATCGAATTTATGATGTTTGGGATATTTTGAAAACTGCAGGGGGGGTTTGGAAAAAATGTGATCAACCGCCGCTTTCAGTAACTGGATAATTTTTGGTATAAAAAGTTGGATTTTCAAACTGCGAATAAGTGCAGAGAGGCAGAATTTAGGTCCAAAATATGGCTCAGGTATCCAATTTGGGATGTTTGGGATATTTTTAAAACTGCAGGGGGGTTTGGGCAAAATGTGACCCACCGCCGCTTTCAGTAATTGGCATATTTTTGGTATAAAAAGTCGGAACTTGAACTATGAATAGGTGCAGAGAGCCAGAATTTGGGTCCAAAATATGGCTCAGGTATCCAATTTGGGATGTTTTGGATGTTTTTAAAACTGCAGGGGGGTTTGGGCAAAATGTGACCCACAGCCACTTTCAGTAATTGGCTTATTTTTGGTATAAAAATTCGGAATTTATAACTGCGAATAGGTGCAGAGAGCCCGAATTTGGGTCCAAAATATGGCTCCGGTATCGAATTTGGGATGTTTGGGATATTTTGAAAACTGCAGGGGGGTTTTGGAAAAAATGTGATCAACCGCCGCTTTCAGTAACTGGATAATTTTGGGTATAAAAAGTTGGATTTTCAAACTGCGAATAAGTGCAGAGAGGCAGAATTTAGGTCCAAAATATGGCTCAGGTATCCAATTTGGGATGTTTGGGATATTTTTAAAACTGCAGGAGGGTTTGGGCAAAATGTGACCCACCGCCGCTTTCAGTAATTGGCATATTTTTGGTATAAAAAGTCGGAACTTGAACTATGAATAGGTGCAGAGAGCCAGAATTTGGGTCCAAAATATGGCTCAGGTATCCAATTTGGGATGTTTTGGATGTTTTTAAAACTGCAGGGGGGTTTGGGCAAAATGTGACCCACTGCGGCTTTCAGTAATTGGCATATTTTTGGTATAAATAGTCGGAATTTCAAACTGCGAATAGGTTTAGATAGCCAGAATTTGGGTCCAAAATATGGCTCAGCTATCGAATTTGGGATGTTTGGGATATTTTAAAAACTGCAGTGTGGGTTTGGGCAAAATGTGACCCACCGCCGCTTTCAGTAATTGGCATATTTTTGGTACAAATAGTCGGAACTTCAAAGGTATCTCACATCAGCTAGTATTTTATACAAAGATAAGATTTAATAAATTCAGTTCAATGACTGAACACTGGCTCCGTTTAAATCAGAGATTTAAACATGTACATAGTCTAGCCTAGCACCATAACTATTAACAGCCAATATATTCTTATACTATAAACAACAATTTTAAATTGTATAAGTATGATAAATGACCTTAAATGTAGTCTAAGTACTGTTACCTAAGTACTAAAGATTATATTCAATTAAATGAACTTATATGATAACTTAAAAATAACTAAGCAAGCAATTGTTAACTTAATTTATATATTCAAGTATATATGCAGATGTATTTATATGATGAGGTACAGTCAGCCTGACTGAATTTTTTCCCACACCATGGACACTTATGAGATTTTGTTTACCTTGATTGAATCTTTTCTTACACAATGGACACTCGTGAGGTTTAGTGCTTAAAGATTCAACTGCTGCACCACAATATTAATAAACTTACTGAAATATGAGGCGATGCCTCGCTTTATAACCGACAGACAGACTTATAGGATATTAAAGTCATACAAGCATACAATTGGCCAATTAATACACTACTGTAATAACATTCAATATACTTCTCTGCTTGCTGGGTGCCTGTCTGACAATGTGCCATACTGGATAACTCTTCCTTGTCGAGTTTAGGCACGATATTTTATATCACAGCTTTGCTGTAGATTGTTCTTGTAGCGTTGCTATGTGATTTTTCTATAACTGCGTTGCAGAAGAATGATAGTTGATGGTGGAGGCAAGAGTCACTGTGTGCTCCACTCTTCACTTATATAGATATAAATGTTCTAGGAATTTTCCTTGTAGATATATTGTCCAGGTACTCCCCCAGTTCTAGAGTGTGTTCACTGGTGATAAAGATAATTCGATAAGGTGTCCTGAGCTAAGTAATGTTCGCTAAGGTACCCTCACACTTGTTCACTGTGTTGTCAACAAACGCGTAGTGCCGAAGGGTGTAGTGCCGCAGGGTGTCGTGGGCGCTTCTTGTTTCCGAGATGCCCCTCCCTCTCCCTTGAGAGGGGTAACTTTCAATGAATATTGATTGATTACTTTTACTGTCTAGACATATGATTGAGATAGTGATTATTATATAATTAGATATAGGATTTAAAGATTATAAGTAGTACTTGATAGTACCACTGATTCTTATTAAGGATTCGATTTATAATCCCTACCGGAAATCGAATCATGTTCCAAAAGTTTTTTAATTAAGAAATCCTTTTAGAAGCTTCTGGATCCTTGAGAGATCATGCACAAGGTCACATAGGCACCTATTGGGCCCTATGGTGTACGTGATCATAGTGACATTGTCATCTAGGATCAAGATGTATTTTTTTTTTTTTTTTTTTTATATACAAGAAGGTACATTGGGTTTGTGAGAATACATTGGGTAGTACAGTATTTACATTCTTGTAAAGCCACTAGTACGCGCAGCGTTTCGGGCAGGTCCTTAATCTAGCAGATAATTTTAAGTAGGTAATTTCAATCAGAATTGATAAATGAAAGATACATGTGAAAGATACATGTATAATGAATCTATAGTGATTCTATAATGATTCTGATATGATTTGATATAATATAGATATGATATAGAAATTATACATTTCTTAGATATTATAGATATAGTGGGTAAAAATTTCTCACAGTATGTTTCAAAATATTTAGCTTTGTAGCCAGTGGGCAGACACAAATTGTTGCGCAGGTCTGAATGTTCTGTCCTGCCATGCTGTTCCTTTTTGGATTCTGACGACCCCAACCATCGTATGTTCATCCTGTACCCCAAACCATTCGCTCTGCCAGTTTGAGTGAGGCTAGCCACAAGCATCTGGCCTCCAACTTTAGACACACACATTCTCTTCTATTGTATAAGGTTAATGATTTTAGATGAATAAAAGATTAATTTTTGTAATATCTAGGCAGGCCGTGAAGGCCTTGGAAAATTAACATAATTAAAAATACTTTTTTAGTCCTTATAGTAGGCATACTTGTGTAGATGATTTAATTTGCATAGAAGCTACATTTTCATTGAAACAAATGCCATCTATGCATTAAAACCCTTGTGTACCGCAGGTCATGACAACGTGAAGGTGTTCATCACGCATGCAGGTCTCCTCAGTCTGCAGGAGGCCATCTACCACGCCACGCCCCTCCTCGCAATTCCCATTTTCGGTGACCAGCTCAAGAACGCCATGTTCGTGAAGGGGACTGGACTGGGAGACAGTCTGGTGTGGGAGGAACTGACTGAGGACATGATCGTTCACGCGATTAACAATATCACCACTGACCCTAAGTAAGTGTTGAACCGTAAGTTTAATTGTTGCAATAATCAGTTGAGGTTCAAGGACAATTAATTTTCCTGTGGGAAAATTTTTAATTTTTACTTTTAAAAATTAAAATTTTTACTCTAAATTTTTATTTAGAGTAAAAATTAACATTCACTTTTAACAAACGATGGAGCTCATTCAAGCACAATTTTCTATTGGTGAATTTAATTTTTACTTTAATACATCGCCAATCCTCATTAAGAGAATATGAATGATGCTATTTTAAGGTAAAAAATTTAACTACAGGAAGTTGTAACATTTATGATTCAACATTTTGTAGGTAATTTGTCATTTACAGCACAATTTAATGTGTTCGCTATCTCAAGTAACAAGTTGTTAATTAGCAAAATACCTTCGATGACCCTGAGCTTATTTAATATTGTGTTTTTCTTTACATTTGTTTCTTCGTTGTTTTCTGTTGTTGTCCATACTCTTCTTGGTAATGTCTGTTCTTCAATGGAATATTCGTGGATTTTATGCCAACTCCCATGAACTCCAACTTCTGATTACACAGTTTTCACCACTTTGTGATTGTCTCCAGGAACTGATGCTTGGTGCTCGTCCTGGTCACTTTCGTGGTTATTCCTTTCTCCCCCTCCCCCACCCTCTTGCTGGGGCCCGTAACTCTACTGCTCTTTTGATTCGTACTGATATTCCCTTCGTCTCACTACTTTTTCCATCGCCTATCCAATATTCTTATGCCCATGTCTTTGTGAGTAAATGGAATACGGTTTGTTCCATTTATCCCCCCCCCCCAAATGCCCCACTTTCTCTTCCTGATCTTGAGCACCTCCTGGACTCCTTGCCGAAGCCTGTGCTCCTGTTGGGTGATTTCAACTGTCAACATACCCTCTGGGGTGATGTTCTGACAAACAACTGAGGCCGCCTTCTCGAACAGTTTGTCCTCTCTTCTTCCCTCTCTCTCCTGAATTCTGGTGAACCACTTATGTGGAATCTCGCACTCCACATGAGTGAGAGAATGAGATTATTTGCTCATTCATTTAGAGAATGAGCCAGTAACAATAAGAATCGGCAATTACCATATAACAGGCAACCAAAGATATGTGACTCATAATTGACACAGAGGAATATTAATTAATTTCCTTCTGATTTCCTTGGTGGTCAGGTATAAGAAAAACATGATGAGGATGTCAGCGGGGATGAGGGACCAGCCGACGTCGCCCAGGGACCGGGCGGTGTTCTGGACGGAGTACGTCATCCGCCACCGCGGGGCGCCCCAGCTGAGGTCCCCGGCGGCACAGCTCTCCTGGGTGGAGTTCCTCATGCTCGACGTCCTGCTGCTCCTCCTCCTGGCTCTCTACCTTCTCTTCTTCATCCTTCGTCGTATCTTCAGGTTCATGTCTACTAAAATCTTTGACGGCGACAGTAGAAAAAGTAAGAACAAGAGGGAGTAGGAACGCCGTCTTTACCGTTACCTCGAAAAACCTTTGGAAAACGATTCAAATAGAGAAGTTTGTCATATTCCAACTGCTTATCGTATTGATTTCCTTATATCTCCGTAGCAGTTGTACTGGGAATCTCAGCAGAGAAGCCAGGAATGCAAACCTCTGCAATAACCTCCAAAGAAGTAAACTTGAACTATATTGCAAATTGAATTGCTAACTCTTGTGATGTGATAACGGTGGCTATACCGGGAAGATGGTATACGGCACACACTTCCCATTAAAAAAACTCATTGGTCTTTGCAGTGTGAAAATTGCACTAGAGTAAAGATACTCAGACAAAATAGATAATTTACTCTTTCAAAATGAACAAATAACATGAAAAATACCCAAAACCCCTAATTAGACACACTTGGCTGTCACTCAAGTGATAACAACACATATATTAACTCAGTGACACAAAATATTCACACAAAAACTAAAACCTGCACACGAACAAGCGTCATGCAGAGGCAGTCATGTTGATTCCCTGAGCACCTGATTAGAGACTGAGGAAATGACCGAGGTCATGGGGTATTTATACCCCTGAGGTCACCTGTCCCTCAATAGAATTCTTGGTGACTCGGATACTTTTGATATCGTTCGCCTTATGCGTTTTTGTTCTCGTATTGGCATCGTTGGTAATATTTAGCGCCCTCTGATTATTCTGCGCATTTGATGGTGCTACATAGCCTTCCCGGTTTGGTGCCTTCTTTTGATAATTAATTACTTACTTTAGGGTCCTTTAATCCAGTCCACCCTGTGGTCATCGAGATTCAACATTGGCTGTTTCTTATCTCCAGTAAATTTAAGTCAGTTGCGTTTTGCTGGGTTCCCAGCCATGTTGGTGTGTCTTTAAATGAGCATGCGGATGCTGCCGCTAAGGACGCTATCCGCACTTGTCCCATCTCCCTTAAAGGTGTTCCTTATTCTGACTTTTACCCAGTTATTCATGCCTCCATCCTTGCCCGATGGCAGAGTTATTGGTCTTCTGTTCTTGGTAACAAACTACGTACTCTTAAGAGTTGTGTGTCCCAGTGGCCTTCCTCCTGCTACCGTAACCGGCGGTGGGAAATGGCTCTGGCTAGGTTACGTATTGGCCATACCCGTTTAACTCACGGTCACTTGATGGAGCGCCGGCCTGCTCCTTATTGTCCGAATTGCATTGTCCCTCTTACGGTCGTACATATCCTTCTTGAATGTCCTGACTTCCAGGACTAGCGTGTCTTGTTTTCCGACTGTCCCCCGCGGTCGCTTGTCCCTTGATAGAATTCTTGGCGACTCTGATACTTTTGATATCGTTCGCCTTATGCGTTTTTGTTCTCGTATTGGCATCCTTGGTGATATTTAGCGCCCTCTGATTATCCCGCACTTTGATGGTGCTACATAGCCTTCCCGGTTTGGTGCCTTCTATTGATAATTACTTACTTACTTTATACCCCTGATTGTGACGTCCCATCTTTTGTCACCGAGACTTGGAACGAAGAGCTGTCGGCGTTACTGGTGGTTAATGGACGTAACGAGGAACCTGAGAGTCAAGACGTCTAACACCTGCCTGGGGCTCTTGGGTTAGGTGGAGGATGTACTGGTGGTGATGTCCAGACATTCATCTGGGTTGAACTTCATACTGGTCGTAATACGAGACATGTAGTGATAAATAACGAAGGTAAGATGGAAGAGGCAGTTTTCTCTGCTATGGAATTACAACTCTCCCCAATAGTGCATGTCATCTCATAAGGCATCTCACCAGCATGACTTACAGCATCTACAATAGACTCTGAATGATCATACATCATCACAAAATGCTGCTAGTGCTTACAGCATTAACAGTGACCCCTGCACGGCCTTACAGCATCAACAGTCACCCCTGCACTGCCTTACAGCATCAACAGTCACCCCTGCACGGTCTTACAGCATCAACAGTCACCCCTGCACGGCCTTACAGCATCAACAGTCACCCCTGCACGGCCTTACAGCATCAACAGTGACCCCTGCACGGCCTTACAGCATCAACAGTCACCCCTGCACGGCCTTACAGCATTAACAGTCACCCCTGCACGGCCTTACAGCATCAACAGTCACCCCTGCACGGCCTTACAGCATTAACAGTCACCCCTGCACGGCCTTATAGCATCAACAGTCGCCCCTGCACGGCCTTACAGCATCAACAGTCACCCCTGCACGGCTTTAAAGCATCAACAGTCACCCCTGCACGGCCTTATAGCATCAACAGTCACCCCTGCACGGCCTTAAAGCATCAACAGTCACCCCTGCACGGCCTTATAGCATCAACAGTCGCCCCTGCACGGCCTTACAGCATCAACAGTCACCCCTGCATGGCTTAACAGCATCAACAGTCACCCCTGCACGGCCTTACAGCATTAACAGTCACCCCCGCACGGCCTTATAGCATCAAGAGTCACCTCTGCACGGCCTTACAGCATCACTTCACCCCTGCACGGCCTTAAAACATCAACAGTCACCCCTGCACGACTTTACAGCATGAAGAGTCATCCCTGCACGGCCTTATAGCATCAAGAGTCACCTCTGCACGGCCTTACAGCATCACTTCACCCCTGCACGGCCTTACAGCATCAACAGTCACCCCTGCACGGCCTTACCTCTTAAGAGCATGGACTAATATAGATGAAAAGGATGTTGCTAATTGAATTGAATGCAAAAATTATCTTTATTTTTGTACAGGATACCGAGTTTAACTTCCCTGCATGTTTTTATTTGATGATAAAATGGAAATCCAACTAACGTACTACAGAAGCTTTTTCTTTCATATTACTCCACCATCACGTCCGACACTCCTCTCCCGCTAATCTGGAAGTGTATCCGCAAGATAGCGGGTAAATTGGTTCCCGATGTCTCCCCGGTCCTCCACCTCTGTGGTAATCTTGTGGCGGACCTGTTGCAGGTCGCGTCCGAACTGGGTTCATACTTTTTATGTTAGCTCAGGTTCTCATCTTCCTCAATCTTTCCTTCTTCATAAGCCTGTTCTTGAATCTCGCCCTTTAGATTTCTGCACCCATCTCGGACTTCCTTATAAGTCCGAGATCCCTATCCCTTTCTCTCTCTCTTTAGAAAGAGGACTAAAGTAAACTCCTAGTGTATATTCATCGAGAACTAGGGGTACACCTTACGTTGCTTATATATAACCTTGCCTATTAAGAATGACACATAGGAAGCGTATTCATTAGTATGTGGCGGCGTCATGAACAAAGAATATAGAAATACGTTAAAAAGTGAATTATATTTATTTAATATTATACACATTTTTCTTGAAAAATAAATATTGGTCATCAACAGATTGACAAACAAAAAAGACAATGTATATTTTCATCAGGATGACAAGCTTCCCTGTAGCGTAAAGCGACATTCTGCTGTGTACTGCTGTTTAAAGAATGAAATTATAAGTGCATGAATAAGCTGATTGATCACAGGGAGACACATCATTTAGTTAATATCTTGATGTCAAATCTATCAAATCGGATTAATTAGCTATTCTAAAAAACCTTAGTTAAATTATATTTGGTAAAATAATTTAAAAGAAAAGTTTTATTGTAGCTTCAGATAATATGGAAAGTAAATGTGGGCGAATCAATACAAATACAAAATGATTTTAAACTTAAGATTTTGAATAAATAATTTTGAGCACGATAGTGTCATGTGGTCCAAAATTATTTTAATCAATTTTTATAACAAAGCTTATAATTTTATTATGCAAAAATAGCCAGAGAGATGTCAAATCTTGGCAATTATTGGGATTTATAAGCATAACTTTTCTCCTTAAATTTCTATAGACAAATGTCAAATGACATACGTAGTCTTCTAAGAATTAATAAATATTTATAATGTTCGTAAATCAAATCAAATATAATATAATAATCATCATTTAATGGTATATGAACCATATATTAAACTTTTTACTGATCACACCTTGCAAACACGTGGTGAAGAAATATGGATAGATTTGGATGGGCGGAAATAAACTGCTCTAAGAATTAAAGCAAATATTGTGTTTAAATGTTCATTTGTGATTCAGAAATATCATTGTTATGAATCTTTAATATCAACAAAAACAAAGTGCAGAAAACAGTAACACCCGTATGCATGCAAGTTTATGATTGCGGCGAGGGCTCAGTTATATTTGTCTGTTAGCAGTTACGTCTCTACGTTTTAACTAAACTGTATTACGAATACTCTCAAGCTCTTATATTCTGATTGGACAATGAGGGTTAGGTTGGGGAACGAGACAAGAAAAGTTCCAGTGTGGCTGACATAGTTAATTTAAAATGTGGTCTTAATTCATTCAAGCTAAAGGTGATCGCTGAGGTTATCTTTGGATAGCTGATCTAAGTCGATCTATGATTGTATGAGAATAAAGAAACTTTTGATAAGTAAACCAAATTGATTAGGTGGATAATAGCTAAATATATATTTGTTCTATCATTTGAGAAACTCATTTTTATTTATGATAGTTTAGAGGGAATGTTTCATAGACGCACCTTATCTTGTAAGGGGAACACGTAATTAATTAGGTAAAAGCACTTGTGAGAAATGAGCATTTTCCATAACCTGGATTCCAAGACCACAGTCGATTTTGTAATTATAATTATATTTTAAGATTGCGAAATGTTTAATTTAGTGATTTCAGTGAAAACTTGCCGACTTACATAAACAAATAATGAAATATGATATATCTTTGGTTATTGCTATACTAAGGAAAAATTACCAATGGTAGTTCAAGTCTCTGGAAGGTTTTCACTTATCACAGAATTAGCTAGTCTGCTTGCGTCCTCTCTGAGAACAGTTCCAACTGGCACAGCTGTTACCTGCACTCCCAAGCTCACTGATGGGATGATTATGTCTATTTTGTGTCAGATGTACTGGAGTCTTGTGTGTTAAGTACCCGACGTGAGTACTCTGCCACGTGCTCCACCCCTCTAGATGATACCACGTGCAGGTTCTGAGCTGTCACGCGCGGGTTGATGAGAGTATTGTGCAACTCTGCGATACTTGAGGAGCAGGCTGCCGCCG